AATTTGTTGGGCATTCAGGCCGGAATATGTTGTTAATACTGCTTATTATAAACAGAGCATTTAATTCGATATTTGTATAAAAAATGTCAGAGTTAACCTGTAGAAAAAGACAGTATGTATAAAGGTAAAAGACAATACGAAAGCTGTATTATTAGCTGATGTCTTTCGCCCAATGTGGACTTTTTCAATGGAAAAATGAACTGAATTTATTGAAAACAAAGTAACTATTAACAACAAAACAAAATGTCCTTAGCAACTGGAAGAATTTAGAAAATGCCGATGTATTCATATTGACGTAATTTTCAGTTGACAATGTGAATATAATAGATAATTCTAAATTCTGAGAGTTACTAATGACATTTTTGTTATTATTAGTTACTTTGATAAATTCGTTTCGTTTTTACCTTGAAAAAGTCCACACTGGACGAAACGCGTCGACAAATAATCCAGTTTTCATATTGTCGTTTACATTTATACAAATATTGTAGCTATAAAAATAACGTATAAACAAAAAATATATTAAAATAATTGTCGGGCTTAGTCCATTTCATAACACACACACACACACAATCTGTTTATACGCTAAATTTAAGTAAATGCTCTGTTTATAATAGATAGTATTAACAACATTATCCGAGAAATTTCTTAAGACAGGAATCGAACCTGTATCCTACACGGAAGTTTAAAAACATTAATTTAACTTTGCTAGCCAGACGCTTCCTCTGTAGCTAAATGGTATAGCACGTCAAGCTATATGTCGGTCCCGTACAGGTTCGGTTCCTATCGACGACACATATTTTTTATGATATTTCTCGGACTTACCTTCGTATAATGTAATTAATTTTATTGATCGTTTCCTTTTTTTTTTTCAAATTAAGAATAATCCTTCTCAGGCAAGGACAATATTCCGTGAAGAATTTTCCCGAAGTTCATTTCGGAAGAAAGAGTAAAATTTATATGGTCTTAGGTTTTGTCTTTCTTAAGTCAGCATCCGGTTAGTTTAAGAAAATTTTTAGAAATGGTGTCACGGGGTCATTTTCTAATAACCTGTTTGCAGTTAGACGTTAGAAGCCATGCGACAAAAGCGCATACAGCCCATTTTTGAATTTAAAGTCGTAAAACCAGAGTAAGTTTCATCATTCACTCGATGAGAGCAACGAGGTCAGACGTATGGACATTCTAGTCAGTTATTGCATCATCGAGAAAATGAGTCGTGGTTCCCGTTCTGGGGACAGTGTTTTGCCAGTCTGCGGAATTGATCGCTGCGGAATTGATTAGCAGAGTACGTTGCAGTGGCGGATGAACAATTGTAACAGACGCAAGTCAATCTTGTCGCCCGTTATCATCGTATGAGAGAGGATGTCTTGATCTTGAAAAACCGACGAATCACGTTTGCACAGATGGTAGCAATCATGGCCATCTGCTATAGGTCTGCACGAACCACTGTGTATGATGACTTGGGGTACCGTAAAGTTTGTGCCAGTTAAGTGCCCAACAAGCAATCGGTGTTGAAGCGGCTTCCTAACGAACCTTAATTGTTTCTGGAACAGGCAGGATGCCGAAGACGTACATGTGGTTGTAAAGATCAACTTCTAATAAATAAAATGACCCTGGAAAATTGCAGAAAAAATTAGAAATCTCCACACAGCTTGAATAGATTATACAGTGTGACCCGGATATAAGAGAAACCCGGATATAAGATAGATTTTCTCTAGTCCCAAATTAGAGCCCATATCTACCTAAACAAAATAGACCAAACCCGGATATAAGAGACGCAGATATAAGAGAAACCCGGTCCCGACAACTCTCTTATATCCGGGTTACACTGTAGTATAATAATTGGTGCCAGTCACTTTCCCTTCCCCAGTTTATAGTCACAAGCACACAAATGTATGCTAGGATTTCTTTTTAGCCAATAAAATAGGCCTGTTCTCAGTTTCATCTGACACAGTCCCGCTCTGTCTTGTCTTGTAGACAGAACGCCAGGTTCGCTTATCCAAATTCTCTGTTGTGTGTCAATCCCAATTCTCGGTTGGTGAACTTTTTCCCATATTACTTTTGTTTTGCCTTATTACTCTTAATTATTCTTATATATAGATTTGCACGCTTTATATTACTTTTGTCCTGTTCTTTTCTTTTTTCTCGTTATTTTTTTTTTCTACTCTGGTTTGGAAATAAAATTTCTTTCTATATTTAAGCAATTCTCATGCTTTCAGCTTACGTATGTCTCGCGAACTCAATTCGATCGACTTATTTTATTATACTTACCTGGCACAGGGCTCGTCCCTGGGCTGGTGGTATCACGGCTAGGACTATCTTGGACCGGCTCCGGCCTGGACCAGTTAGAACAAGCCAAGACCAGCTCTGACCAGCTTGGACAAGCTATGACCAGCTAAGACCAGCTTGGACCAGCGGCCCGAGTGAAAACATTCGGGTCCCCACGTTAAAAACTGACCTTGTGTCACAACCTGACTCAGTGGGGGGGGGGCAAGTAAATATCGACTTATTTTGTTAATTTGAATTTATAACGTATAAAATGTGGCTTAGTCGCTGTTTCATTTATTTCTCAAGAGTGATAAAGAATGGCAAAAGCTTTCCGAAATATATGTTTTAATAATAAATTATCCGGTGGAATTACAAGTTTTTATTCTTTTTAATTCAACTTCAATGAAATCAAGCGTTTTTACAATTATACGTTGCTGTTGTTACAGTGTAAACATGGCCGCTCCGTTAACCGTGTGCACCAAGGAGGAAAAAAGATCAGTCATCAGATTCATCTGGCCGGAAGTTGTCAGGGGTTGACATTTTTTGGAGGCTTTCAACACAATACGACGACAGTCTACTGTGGAGAATTCAATATAAGTGTTTTTTTTTATTAAACAATAGGAAATGTTTCAAAACCAGAATAGAAAAAAATACTCCTATTATCTTCGTATTTTCCATTGAAGTAAGGAAGTCCATGCTGGGTGAAGCAGTGCTACATCAATTCTATTACAAGCATTTTTAGTACTTGCTATTATCAGTTATTCAGCTAGCCATCTTTGGTTGAATTTGTGTTGGTTGGCCATTTTAATTTCAGGTTGGTCGAAGTCAATTTCGTGACCTTCTTTGATGGCGTGAAGTGCAATTGCTGATGACGTGCCTAGGTTTTTTTTTTACTTAGTTCAAAGACGCCGATTTTCCTCTATTCTTTCTTTTAGAGTCTCGCAAACTTTAAAAAAAAAATTTCTTGTTATTGTTTATTGAAAACGTTGTCAATTCTCTTTGTTTGCAGTTATGCAATTTTACTAAAACCATAGACACTCAATCTACAATAGTCTTTGATAGTGTACCATATTCTTGGAACCTTATGAATTTGGAAATTTATAAAGCCACCTCGGTGATAGTAAATTTCCTCAAATCGGATTCATCTTATTGTCATAACCAAGATGGAATCCTTTAGGAGATTGTATCTCCGACAATAATAATCAACAAACAACATTTAATTCTTATACTGGCCATACATGCATACATTCTCTCGTAAATTGAGTCGTCATTTAGTGTAAAAATGACAAAAGTTAATGCAGTTTGCGTATATATAGATTAACACATCACTTATAACTTAAATAATATCAATATGAGTGAAATTCAAATCGATAAATACACGATATATTCTATATAGTTCAATGTAAAGAAAGACTTCACAGTATGGAAGCCATTTTAATACAAGGGAATTAACCAACCTTAAATCAGACATCTTTGTCCACCGGGGATATTATATTAAACTGGATATGAAAAATACCGCCATATATTCAGTTTGGCCGTTGCAAATGACGTCAACTCTAAATGATTTGAAAATAATTCCATCTGAGAAAGGAACATTGGAATTTGCTAAGTACACAATTTTAATAATATACAGAAACTAGTAACCTTGCTAAAGACTATAGTATCAGTCGCAAGTACTCGGACTGATGAGATAAATATGGAAAATATGGGAACAATAAGGGTGGGTACTGCAAAAGAACTTTGAATTGTTAATTTTGAAATAAAACAACTTAATCAGAAGTTAAAAATTTAATAAAAAGCTGGACAGATATCTTGGCGTCGGTGTTGCTTAATAACTCTTGTTTGAAAATATAATATATATTATTGAGTGCGCATATATATATATATATATATATATATATATGAAAATTTCTCTGATTTAACCAGTAGAGAAGACAATGTTTATGAATAAAAATGACAATAGGAAAACTGGTAATTGCTGACGCGTTTCGTCCAATGTGGACTTTATCAAAGCATTCCAGTTGCTAGGTACATTCTGTTTTTGTTTTTATTAGTTACTTTATTCAATTAATTTTATTTTCGTATTTTGCTTTGATAAAGTCTACATTGGACGAAACGCGTCAGCAATTACCAGTTTTCCTATTGTCATTTTATTCATATATATATATATATATATATATATATATATATATATATATATATATATATATATATATATATACATAAATTATTTAACTATTACATATCAATTTTATCCCGACATCGTAGTTTCTTGGCAACATTTCTAGTCTTCAGGGGTTGTGATTTTATACGATAACTAAATTCTGATAAAATCTTTTCATATACTATCATTAACGTTCTAATTTAATATTATTTTAGCATTTTTATATTGGCCACTATATATAAAAATATCTGTTTCTTAAATCTTATACATATATATATATATATATATATGTCGATATATATATATATATATGTGTGTGTGTGTGTGTGTTTATATATATATATATATATATATATATATATATATATATATATATATATAGATAGATAGATAGATAGATAGATAGATAGATATAATGTTCCTGCACTGAAATCAAACATTCCGTTCTAACATCTAATTTAGTATCTTCATTACATCTTTATCTACATAGCGGCAAGCATGATACTAATGAAAGGCAAACGACCTCAATTTCATCAAATAATGTTCGCGTGCATGTCGTCTGCACCATCAAATGTTCCAATTGTTTCTAACGCGACTGATTAGCCAACTGTCATGGCGCCATGCACGGCCCCATGGGACAATACCTTACACATCACCTTGCCGACTTGGAGATGTCTCGCACAATTCTTCTGCCTTTTCTGACCGGCCGTGTGAGTTGACATGGAATTATTAGCTGTTCAATGACAAGGAGAATTTCTTAGTTTTTTTTTACTCATTTTTTTATTCTCTTGTTTTTATTTTTTTTGTATATTTTGATTTGTATTTTTTCTTTGTATTGTTTCGTTTTTTAATCATTTTTCGTGTTTCTTTTTTATTCAATTTTTGTTGTTTCTTTTTCTCTTTTACATTCTTTCCTTAACACATCTTCCTCTCTCATTTCCTTCTTTCATTTCTTCTTCTTCTTTCATCGTTGTATTTCCTTATGTATATTCTTTCTCTTTTTTTTTCTTTAATTCAATCATGGCCAGTGGCGTTTTGTTTTTCCTTTGTTAAGTCCTAAACTACTTTACTTTCTTCTTCTTCTTCTTCTTCTTCTTCTTCTTCTTCTTCTTCTTCTTTATCTACACATATTTCTTTCTCCTCTTTTGTCTTTTTTGCTTCTTTTGTTTATTTTCCTCATTGCTTTTATCTTTTATTTCAATTTCTCTTTTCTTTTCTTATGGTTCATTTTCTTTCTTATATTTACTTTTTCATCGAAATTCTTTCCTGTAGCGCTCTTTCTTTCTTTCTTTCTTTCTTTCTTTCTTTCTTTCTTTCTTTCTTTCTTTCTAGTATTTTATTTTAATGCTTTATATCCTTTCCCATTGCGATCATTTACTATATTTCATTATATTTTTCATTCTCTCTTTCGATCGTTTAATTTATTTTTTATTTTCGTTATTCATTCATTCATTCATTCATCTATTGTTTGTTTCTTTCTTTCTTTATTTTATTTTCTTTCTTTTTCTTTCTTTCTTTATTCTTTTTTTATTCCTTTCTTTCTTTCATTCTTTCTTTCTTTTACTGTTTGCCTTATTTCCATCATTTTCTTTCTTTCTTTGTCTTATTTATATTATTTTCTTTCTTTTTTCTTTTTTCGTTTTTTTTCTTTGCCTTATTTCCATTTTCTTTTATTCTTTGTCTTATTTACAGTATTTTCTTTTTTTTTTCTTTCTGTCTTTCTTTTTTTCTTTCGATTATTTTCATTTTCTTTCTTTCCTTCCCCATTTGTCTGATTTCCATTCTTTCTTTCTTTCTTTCTTTCTTTCTTTCTTTTATTCCTTGTCTTATTTACAGTATTTTCTTTCTTTTTCTTTCTTTTTATTTCTTTCTGTCTTTCTTTCTTTTATTTCCATTATTTTTTCATTTTCATTTTGTTTCTTTCGTTTTTCTTTCTTCCTTTCGCCATTTGTCTTATTTCCATTCTTTCTTTCTTTTTTTTCTTTCTTTCTTTTCTATTATTTTCTTTCTTTCATTTTTTGTTTTCTCTTTTCTCACTTTCTTTCTTTCTTTCTTTCTTTTTTCTTTCCTTTATTTTCTTTTATTTATAGTATTTTCTTTCTTTTTAAAGTTTTCTTTCTTTCTTTTATTTCCATTATTTTTCATTTTCATTTTATTTATTTTTTTTTCTTTCTTCCTTCCTCATGTTTCTTATTTCCATTCTTTCTTTCTTTCTTTCTTTATTTCTATTAA